AAAGTTTATAATCAATTTAGCCAATCATAATTTGCATTACTGTATTTCTAGAATATTTTTAGAATCAACTTGATTGATATTTCTATATTATAAAAGATTCGATCTGCATTGCCTATTTTTGGTAATGTGCCTGACTATATTATTGAATCTAAAGAATTCTTTAGCAACTTGTATAATTTTTTTCATTTGAGCTTTGCTTTCTGCAATTCATGTTGTATCATCAGTATATGCTACTACTGCTTGTCTCTATTTAACCTTTTTATATTGATTTAAGCTATAATTGTATATGATTCGTTGAGTAACTATATATCCTAGTTCTAGATTTTCCTAGATTCTTAACAATAATAGGTTATAGAAGAATTTCAATATAAGCAAAGAGATTACTTCTCCTTGCTCGATACCATTATTTATCTTGAAGCACTTTGTTGTATCTAGGTCTGTGATGATTTTGAACTGTCTGTTCTCAAAAAGATTCAATATAAAAATCACTGTTATTTGTAAAATTTTGAGTCTTTTTAAAGCTAGTTCAAAAAATCTTAGAGATACTGAATCAAAAGCTTTTTTCATATCTTGTAATACTAGCCAAAGTTCTTTGTTATTGTCTTTTGCATTCTCCATTATTGTATTTATTATTTGCACTGGTTCCTCTATAGAGTTGCTAGGCAAACCTGCAAAGTTTGAACCTTTTAGAATATTTTTCTCTGCAAGAACTTTTGTTAACTATTTGGTTACAATTTTAGTTACATATTTTCTAAAAGTTTTTAGAAGTACTATTGGTCTGACATTATTTAAATTATATCTCCAATCTAAATCTTTTGAAATCAGATAAATTTGTAAGATTTTCTACTTTAGTGGCACTTTTCTTGAGCATATGCAGCTTTCTGCAAAAAGACAAAAGATCTTCTGTACTTGTGGACTCACTGTTTTGATTAGTGCATATATAATTCCTAATACTTTTAAAGCTGTATTTTTCTTAAGTTCTTTTAACATATTTGACCATTCTTCTTCTAAAATATCTTGAACAAGTTCACTATATTAGCTCTCTTGTATTTTTTAATTGGTTTGTATATCTCTTTCCAATTGCTCTCCCAAAGCTCATAGTTGAACTTGTAAGATCTAAATTGATTCTAAAAATACTTCTTCATCTTTATAAGAACCTCTTTTGGGTTCATAATGAGTTTTCTTTGAATCTCTTGATCTATAAAAAGTCTATCGATTTGTATTTTCTTGTAAAGCCTTTCTAGAAGGCTAGCAACCATTTTGCCTTGCTTGCTATCTATTATCTAATATCTTCTTTTGATATTTTCTTCTATCTCCATTTTCTTCTAATGCTTAATTTCATTTGTTTTTTTCACAAAAAGGATCTTCTACCAATCTTTAAAATTATCTATTAGGTAGTATTCCACAGATCCTATCTGAAGATCCGGATCTGATCTGGATCCGGTACTCGGATCGGATCTGGATCCATGATAAATCAGATCCGTCGAATTCGGATCCATATTGAGATCTGATCCAGTAGATCCGTTTGGATCTGTTCAAATAACGAACAATGATTGGCTGGAAATATTATATTCTGATTGGTTTATATTATTTAAAAAAAAGGCATTACGATACTATTACGATATTATGATAATCCCTTAACTTCTAAGCCATCTAATCTCTAAGCAGTTTAAAGAAAAAAACGGGGTTTTTTTCTTATATTATTATATCTTATGCCAATCTTATAAGTACAACTCTAAGTTTTCTAAACATTTTAAGCTGTCTAATCCTTCTAAGCCTTCTAATCCATAATGTAAAAGAAAGAGACATTATGATGAATTTTAGATTTTAGACTTTTTTTTTTTTTTCTTGAAATTTTTTTTTTTTTTTGATATAAAAACTTTGCATTATGTGTTATGATGAACGCGAAGCTTTTTTTTTTGAGAAACTTTTTTCTGATACCAGACTTTTTAAACTTCAAAATTGTTCACCTAGTGACGCTTTTTATCACAATGTCAACCTCATCTATGCCCCATGAGGAGTTTAGTGAATCTGATTATGAACATGTGCCGCCTCATAGGGAGTTTAGTGAATCTGATTATGAACAAGCACCTACTTACATGGACGAAGATGAAGCCAGAGCCGAAGTCAATAAATCACCTTCAACACAATCAGGTAGTAGTAATAAAACTGTGCATTCCAGGTAGGAGGCTTCGTAGTATTAAGCAACTTAGATTTTTTTTTTTTGAAAATATTTTAATAAATTATTATTATCTGATTTACTTACTGGTTGCTTTATATTATAGATCTTTCATATGGAACTACTTCAAAAAAAAAGGCGGCAGTGCAACCTGTGATTTCTGTAGCATGAGTTTAGTATATCATGATGGTACTACATCAAATCTTAAGAAACATCTTAAAGCACATAGAAGTAAAGTACCTGAATTAAAAAGTCTGAATGTAAAACAAGGCAGTATCTTAGTTATTGATATGCTGAATAATAAAGCAAGCGTATATTTTTAAAACATGTAGTAGTTAGAATGAATATTCATGTGATTTAAAGCATAATTTTATTTATTAGATCAATAATCATTTTCGTGAACCATTTAATAAAAATAAATTTGATGATCTTATTAAAAAATGGATCATTAAACGTAATTGACCTTTTTTAATTACTGAAGATGAAGAACTTGTATCGATTTTTAAATTTTTAGATTCTTGTGCCACAGATATGATATTTAGTTAAAATAGTGCTTGAGAATAAAAGAACAAGTACTTAGTTTTTTCTTTTTATAGCACCTTCAGCTGATTCAGTAAAAAAATATGTAATACATGATTTTGAAGTAGAACGAAATAGGCTTCGAAAAAAGTTGCAAGAAATTCCTGGAGGTATAGCTGTAACTACAGATATATGGACGAATGATACCGGTGACAAGTCATTTATGGCAATAACCATCCATTATCTAAATGCATCATAGAAACTTAAAAATATATTGTTAGAGTTTGTTAGCATGAAAGGTTCACATACAGGTACTGCAATCTCAGATGCAATGGAAGTGTGTCTTCAAGAAATGGGAATTATCTCAAAGTTAGTTGCAATTACACGTGACAAT